AAATCCCATATATTGTGGGGCATCCTGATTTGGTTCCATACTAATGGCACACGGCACCAATGATGGAAACTTCTGAGAGGTATGTTTGGATTTGCATTTATGGAAAAGACCTTGTCTTAGCATCTTCCCCCAAACAATGTATTAGCTACGTCCCTTGTCACTGTGACAGAACCTAACAACACTTAACGGAAGGACTTATTTTGGCTCACAGTTTTAAGTGTACAATTTACAATAGCAGGGAAGGCATGGTGGAGGTCTTGGCTTTAGGAATGCGTGGCCATAACTCCTCACATCTCAGCCAGGAAATGAGGAGATATTAGTGCCTGAAAAACTCCAGCTTGTACCTCAGAGGACAAGTCCCCAAGATTAGAGGAAAGTTACCCATCCCTACATAGCATGCTTGTGGAGGGTTTTTCACCCTCTCCGAGTTTTGTATCTATCCACTGTCCTTTCTTTTACAATGATCTGCTCCTTCCAGAAAAACAGTCGTCCTCTGCTAAACGACCAAGCCTTAGTGAGCATGTTTGGACAGGATGTGCTATTATTCAATATTGGTCTGAAAGATGAGTTTTCCCCATGTCTGGATGAATTGGAGCAGGCTCTCTTGATTTACAGTCTACAAAGTTTTCCTTGATATCCTCCAGAAGAAACATATTATAAGCAAAGGTTGTGGTTTCAGTTGCATCCAATACACAGCTCTTGATGAAGGAAGACTAAGAACTCTAATTTGCCATTTCTGCCATTTGTCTACGCTTTGATTCCAAAAATTACTGTGAAAACCATGCATTTCTAAGCAAACTCATTTCTTTTTCAAACATGCCTGACTCCTCTCTCCTCTCCTCTCCTCTCTCTCTCTCTCTCTCTCTCTCTCTCTCTCTCTCTCTCTCTCACACACACACACACACACACCAATTCCATATGAAATACTAACATTTCTCTAGGTACCTTACCAGATAAGGAAAGCCAGTCTTGCTTCTGCCCCTCATCAGCCCTAAAGCCAGCAAGGCCGCCGACTCCCACTCCTCCTCCTTCATGCTATGTCAGGTTTGCAAGATGAAGGGAGAGTGAGTTGGCAGATGAAACCTGCCTGGCTCTGGCAAAAGCATCCATTGGAAACTCGCTTTGTAATTTCCTGAGCGTTTAGGGTCAGAAGTGGGAGGCCACCCCCAGCTGGAAGAAAAGTCTAATCACTTTCACGTGGGAGGAAAATAAGAAACACACAGCCTTGAAAGGGACACAGCGACTAGATTCTGAACTCGGGCTCAAGGATAAATGTTCCCCAAACACTGCTTTGGGAGGGAGTGAGTGCCAACTGCCTGAGAAGATGTACTTGGCCCGGATGGGACCACCCGTGGATGGGAAGAATACTCAGATTCCCCCACCCACAGAACTGTTCCCTGAAGAGACAGGGATGTCTAGGAGACAGGATAATACATTCTCTCCTTGTCTTTGACCATTTATTTCTTGGTTTTAGTCTCCAGAATGTTTTCTCTTTTTGGAACAGTGCCTGATGCACAGTGGGTGCTAAGCAAGTATTTGCTGAGTGAAAGGCAGAATGTGGTTTCCATTTGAGACTCTGAAGTTCCTGTCACTCAGTTGATGGCATGATGATGCCTATAGCAAGAGGTGAGAAAGCTAGATGGACCTTGGCCTCCAAACAGTTGGAGAGAAAGATACACTGGGAAGGCAGGAAAGCTGAAGGAGAATCAGTATGGACACATGTGATGTCTGGGAAAGCCGGGGGCTCACCAGAGACCCTAAGGAGGTGACTAACAGGAGGGGAGCCTTGATGATCTCACTTTCTCTGCTTTAAAGCCAAAGCTTTTATCCCAAGGAAAAGGGACTCCCCTCCTTTTCCTTCCACCTTTGTTGAATGCCAGTCATCTCTTTGCTTCCCTCACAGTTCTCCTTGAGGACTGGGAAGTACAGCCAGCTTTGCAAGAGATTCGCTTTCAAAGCTCTACCTTATCAGGTCATGTGGTCAGACCTCTCATGGACTGGAATGTCACTGCAATGAGGATTTTTCAGGGGATCAAAACTGTAAGATTTCAAAAAGTATGCCGTGTCTGCATAAAGTGAACTTTTCTTGGACTCTGTGTGACTGGGGCGCCAGAGTTCATTGGGACATTTTGGCAAATGGATTTTGTCGATCTCTTTAGCACTATTAGCTCCATGTTTATGACCAAGGGACCTCTGTCTTTCGAGTTTGTAAATGAGGGTCACAGGCAGCTATTGACCATAAAAACACCTCCTGGTTTGTCCTTCTGTCATTGAGGTCCACTTAGCAGATCCATTATGCATTTTCTAAGAGTTTGATTCCTTTAGAGGAAGACATGATAATGTAAAGATAGCTTGCCTCTCTCAAGCTCTCAGCTCAGGCAATGCGGATAACACTAGGGTAGAAAGTCCTTATCTTTGGTGCTAAAGCAATTCTTTGGGTGGATAACAGGAGGCTGGAAAGGAAGGGACAAAAAGGGGGAGAAAGGAGAATCTGCTAGAACTGGGGTGTAGCTCACTTGGCACTTTAGTAGCTAGAGTGATTGCCTAGGATCCAGAGAACCCCTGTTTGAACCCCATTGTAAACTTCATCTGCTGGTAGACGGCTGTTGCCCCAGCACTCCAGAAGTGGAAACAGGAGCATCTGGAGTTCAAGGTCATCCTCTGTTACATAGTGAGTAAAAGGCCAGTCTGTGATACATGAGACCATGTCTAGAGATACATAGATGAGTAGGTAAATAGAAGCCATTGTCTCAAAAAATAAACAAATACATAAATGAATAAAATCCCACTGCATTAAAAATAGAGTTTGCAAGGGTAGAAAAAGGATGTACTGTGACGTCTCCATTTCAGCTCAGCTACCGTTATTCACATCAGTTACAATGCCATTTCCATGGCTCTGAAGACACCTACTGTTGGCACTAGGCTAGATTTGTTCTTCACTCTTGAAGAGAACTCTCATTGGCTAGTAGCTATTCTCTTTATGGGAATGTTTCTGGGATTCAGATGTGACCCTCACCAGCTTTAGAAGCTCCTCTTAGCATGGAGGAACCCAATCTATACATGCAAAAGCAAAGTAAGGGACAAAAAGTTGTGGACCCCTGGCTAAAGCCAATATATCCCCAAAGCCTAAGTTCCACACACATCTGTCAGGCCCTCTCTCTGAGAATTTGTTTTCATTAAGTAAAATCTTGACCAGCTGTGAACTCTTTGAACTATATTAACAACCAGCCTGGTAAGACATGCTCATTGGTGCTCTGGAACAATCTTTGTACACTGTAAATATGTATCACTCTCCTTGGTTAGTGAAGAACTGACTGGCCTATAGTTGGGTGGGAAGAGATTGGGTGGAAGAGCCAGACTAGGAGGATACTGGGAAGAAGGACTGAGTCTGAGGGGTTGCCAGCCAGACACAGACAGGAAACGGGAGGTGAAGATGAAAGAAAGGTAATGCCACATGACAGAATGTATATTAATATAAGTGGGTTAATTTAAAATGTAAGAGCTAGTTAGTAACAATTCTGAGCTATCAGCAGAGCATTTAAAATTAATAATAAGCCTCTGTGTGGTTTTTTTGGGAGCAGCTGCCATAACACAGAGAAACTCTTACCTACACATTGGTACAATAATGGAGCCAACACTATAAGATCCAAGGCCTGTCCCACAAAAGCCTGACACTGTTACTGGTGTAGTTTCAATCCTATTGACTTTTATGGTACTGAAAGGTGCTACACATGCTACTGAGGAGAAAAGTAACCACCACTCTTACCAAGCTGTGAACCCTAGGAGCTATAATAACTGGTCTGCCAAGACATGCCCACTGATGCAGTAGTGGAATGAACATCACTGGAGTAATCAGTCACTTTATGAATGGATTTAAGTCCCACTCTACAAAATGAAACTCATACCTGGGCACCATTATCAGGCCAAGAATCTGAGTCTATATAGGTAATGGGCCCTAAAAGAGGACATGCTACCATGATTCTACTAAATGGACATATTAAACCAGCTCCCAATGACTTATCACTATACTGCATCTATCAACCTTCATCAGAGAAGGATTTTTTTTGGGGGGGTCAATCTACTAGATGGTGATTAACACAGAGACCCATAACCAGTCAATGGTCACAGTTTGAAGTGCTTACCCTAAATGGGACATCTGTATTACACCCCTCCTCCCAAGGCTCAAGGATCATCATGGAAGAGAGGACAAGAATGTTGTAAGAGTGACAGGCACTGGATGGCTCAGTTGACACAACAAGGCAGTTTCACCCGGGAACTCACAGCAGTTGTGACAGCATTCACAAGAACTGTGCTAGTGCAAAGCAGATAAAACCCCACCACGGAATGGGGAGGAGGGAATGGAGTCCCACCTCTCGCTGGGGAGCTATCAGCAACTGACAGTAGCTGGGAAAGTTAGTTCTCTTTAGGGATGTGGTCCCTGGTAAGCCTGACCATGCTCTGGTGTGTGACCACACACCCAAGAGTATAGAGACTGTACAAATTGGACTCTATGGATTATATTTTTTTAACAAAAGGAGGACACAAATTTGGAAGAGGTAGATCTGGGGAGAGTTAAGGAGAGGAGTGGGGGTGAATATGACAAAGATTTATAGGAAATACACAAAGAATAAAAATATTTTAAAAGATAAATACATTAAAAGAAACCTTCCAATCCCTGTGCTGTTTTTTTTTTTTCAGGTATTTTGTCAGAACAATAAAAAACAAAAAACAAAAACCACGTGATGTGGGAAGTAGAGTTTTTGAACCACATTGTATATATAAATATATATATATATATATATATATATATATATATATGTTTAACATAATATATAAAAATAATAATAATATATTAAAACACTACATATATTACATATTAATATACTAATACATAATAAATGTATTAGTCTTGTCTTGAGACTAGCTTTGCCCCTGTCCTGGGCAGAGCCCCCAGCTCCAGAGTCTTGGTTTGTAAACCCCCTATATACCCACGAGAACACCAGGGCTGGGCTGCTCCACCTTTCACATCTTTTCGTAGCTCTATTTTGCTGACAAAAGATCCTTCCTCTGCAGCTCCATCTTCTCCTGCTTCCTTAGTTTTGCTCCCAGCATTCCAGACATCCTCCGTGTCCTGCAGCATCTGACCATACGGTGAGTGGTGGCCTTCTGGAAGGTCTTCATGCTTTTTGTTCTCCTTTTTCCTCTCATGGGGAACCCTAAATGAGGAGAAAAATATGAAGTCCACCATAAAGTGTGTTCAGAATGATCCAATGACCTACAAAGAACTCACCTACTATGTGGCCGAGTGAGGAAGAGATTGAACTGGGAACCCCACCCCACCCCAGTGTCATGAAGAGTGATTTAATGTGGACAGAAAAAAATGGGTAATGTCAGCGGATTCTTGAAGAAGACATTTCTGGGAGAGGGTGAACACACTGTCCTGAGGAGTGGCGATGCCAGCCATTACAACTTTTTAGTTACTTTTCTTATTGCTATGACCAAATACCTGAGGAGAAGCAAGGTTGGGAAGGATGGATTTATTTTGGCTCACAGTTGAGAGGAGACAGTCCATTATAATAGGGAAGCCATGATAGCAGGAATGGGAGGCTGGCAGGTCACATTGCATCAGTCATCAGGAAGCAGGAAATGAACAGGAATCCAGGCAGGAGTATTTAACCTCCCCCGATGAACGGCTTCCTCCATTGAGGCTCCATCTGCTAAAGGTTCCACAATCTTCTCAAACAGCGACCACATGGTGACCAAGCATTTAAACTCATGACTTCTATGGGGAGAATTTTCATGTTGAAATCAGACCAATTTGTTTATCTGGGATGCTCCCCCAAAAGCCCTCGTGCTGAAGATACCTAACTAGAGATATTTCTCTCCCCTTCTCTTTCTGCATCCTGATGAGAAGATGAGAAGATTTATACTTCAGTCCACTCCTCACCATGATGACTATCTCAACTGTGACACATTGACACTCCAACACTCAGGCTCAGAGACGATGGAGCTGACCGACCCCGCACTGAGATCTTCCTCCTTTACGCTGATTTCCTCTGGCATTTTGTCACATCCACAGAAAGCTAGCACATCAATTGTTTCATTTTTGTGGACCGATGATGTTAGCTGTGGACTTTTCTTCCACATTAAATCATCTTGTATCTTTTAGGATCTTCAGCCATGGGGCTTCAGAGTCTCCCAGTCACCCATCATCTCACTCTGCAAGAGTCTCACTGTTCTTCCCGATCCACGTCTGCTCACATCTCTGTCCTTGCTGTAACTCCTTTCATAGTGATGTTTCAGACTCTCAAGCCTTTGTGAATTGGCCCAAGTTTCTCCCTCCATCCTGAATGCAGCAGTTTCCTTTTTCTGCCAACTCTGCCCCTGTCCTCATTCTCCCGGGAATGCCTACTGCTTCCTTTGTATATTGTCCATGACATCACCCATTTCAACATCCAGGTGCAGACCCATCTTTCCTCTGGTTACCAATGGCTTGTGAGTAAATTCACTTTTATAACAGCCAGCCACCAGCATCAGACAGTCAGATCCACTATAGACTATAGTCAGCATGTTAGCTGGAAAAATAGTGACTATCTACTGTTCAGGCACAAGCTCAAGGTTTTTAGGTTTATTTTGGTTGTCATCTAAGTACAAACTTAAAGGGCTTTTCATCAGGCCAAAGGCACCTCTGTCCAATCCATACCTGGCTCTCTGGACAGAAGGAAAATGTACATGCTTATAGCCCAAATCTGTAGTTTTTGCTAGGACTCAAAGTTATAAATATGTTCCTGCTGTTTGAACAGATATTCAGATATCTGCTTTTTCTGCACTGTGGGCTTCAGTAAATAAGTTTTAACCTCTGTTCCTAGTTTAAACATGTCTTAAACAGGTTTCTGATTTTGGCAGACATCTGAGTATCAGTTGCTGACTACAGGCTGTTCTAAGTAGACTTCGAGCCCTGGACTTGCTGTGGATGTGAACAATCCAGCTGATGTGGACACCCCCTGTCTCTGCAACAAAGTCTGACAACAGCCCCTGATGGATTCCCCATTGCCTAAATTGCTTTTTTTGCTTTTGACTAGCATTTCAACCTTCTGGGGTCCCTAACTTCATCCCAAAGTCAGCAGGAAGTAGCTTGGGAAAGAATTAGCCTCCCATTTTCCCTGGTTAAAACGCTAAGTCAGAAGGGACTCCCTTGCATGGGGATGCCAATATCTCTCACTCCCTGATGGGGGCGCCAGAGAAACAGCAATCCATGATTGGAATTTCCAAAAAAGAAAATGGGGGAATGAAGGGACCAGCTCCCCATTTCGGCAGCCATGACAGTAGCATGTGCTCGCTAAGACCTTGTCTTAGTCACTAGAGGTTAGGTGCCTGCCTCGTGACAAGGAACCAATCAGAAGTTAGCTGGTGATGCTATGCTTTATGACCCTGGGTGTACTTTACGAACAAGTGCACAGCAATGACGCACAGAGCATAGCAACCACCCTGGGAGGGCCTATGGGCCATAACAACCAGTTGGCCAATAAACAAAGGCAAGCCCTCCAAGCCTGGAGGGCACACCAATCCTGAGCCTGTGTGTACCCCTAGATACTCCCCTTACATTTCCCTACAAGATCTCTGGGGAGCCCCTAGGAGCTGTCTTTTGTAGCCAACTGCCATGGTGGGAGGACAGAAGACCCAAGCTAACATGGGATTAGCTCGTTAAATTACAATAAAGCCTCATGCAGTTTGCAGCAAAAACAAAAACAAAAACAAAAACAAAAACAAAAAAAAACCAGCCAGCCACACTTTAATGCTCAGTCACATGTCCACTCATTTATGAGATTATCGGTGACATGAGGTCCTAGTTTCTGCCTACTTTGAACACAGTTGTTTCTCTGTCATATAGGCTGTACTTGGCATGAGGTAGACAATCTATATTTGATGGACAGATGGGGGCATCTTGGGTGGGTGAGGGTAGAGAGAAACAAAAACAAGTGATTGAAAATATTAACTACATGGGAGGGAGAACTGAGGTGCACGTGTGTGTGTGTGTGTGTGTGTGTGTGTGTGTGTGTGTGTGTGTTTGAGAGAGAGAGAGAGAGAGAGACAAAATGAGAGAGAGACAGAGAGAGAGAGAGAACTACTTAGGATTTGGAGTATAATAGGCAATTTCTCTACTGCTCAACTATATTCCCAGCTCCTCTTCCCTCCTTTTTTTTTTAATGAGATACGTATGTGTGCTACCATGTCCATGTCCATTTATGTGGTGTTGGACACTGGACCCAGGGTTTTTTTTTTTTTTAGTTTGTGTGTGTGTGTGTGTGTGTGTGTGTGTGTGCACTAGGCAAGCATTCTATTAATGGAGCCACATTCCCAATCCTAACTAGTTTTTAAAACTCAATATTTTCACTTTTGAGATGGGGGTCTTGCTAACTTACACAGCCAATTGCACTTGGAATCATCTTCCTTCAGTCTCCCGAGTAGCTGTGACTACATGCCTGTACCACCAGGCCTGACTTGCATTATACCCTTTTGAGCAACCCCAAATCCACATGAGAAAAGTCAAAGAACACATTTCTATCTGAGAAGATTATGTCTGGGATTGGTTAAGGGTGCCCTGGGGTTGAGTCAGAGTATCTTAGCATTGGCTAAAGGTGTCCTGGGTTGGATAGGCTATCCTAGGGTTGGGTCAAGGTGTCCTGGAATTGAATGAACCAGTTTGTCTTGGAATTGGTTAAGGTTGTTAAGGGGTGGAGTCAGGTTAGCCTGAGATTAGTTTAAGGATTTTTAGGATTGAGTCAGGATGTCCGGTAATTTGATCCAAGGTTCAAAAGGCAAGACACAACTTTTCTTTGGCATTTTGAGGTTAGTCCATCTCTAGTAGTACTAAATGATAATATATCTCTTGGATTTAATTTTTCTTTCTGCCCAAATCAAAGAAACTAAGTTCGAACACTGTCATGCTAGCTGTGGTGAGAGGGATTTAGAAATGACAGACTCCTAGACAGAACTGCACACACCGACACTGGACAAGAACCTGACACTTTCTCCCTGCATCCAGATGTGAAAAGCTGTTCCAGTTTCCTCTTATGGGTTTGAACTTGGTTTCCAACATTGTGGCTTCCAATACTCTCCCTTCTGATGTGTCTCTTGCTTCTCTCAAGACCCAACTTAAGTGAATCCTGTATATGCCAGTGGTGGGAAATCAGGCATTTTTTTTTTAAAGAAAAACAAAATAGCTAAGCTTTTGAAAAACATCTGCCCTACATCCACTCATTGGATTCTGCAACATTTCTAGCCAGCTGTGATATTTGAACTGGTAACCCCGAGGCATATTTTGGCACATTTAGGCAATCCACACTCAATAAATAAGTGATTATGCATTTCTCCAGTGGCCCATTCCTAAAGTGCTCCACATACCTTGGGATTCTTGTTTACAAAGTTGCAGAGAGGCATTGGCAATCTACCTTATTAGACACATATGCAAATGAATCTGAGCCCACAGGACTCAATTAAGGCAGGCCTTTTCAAGAGGAATGGAGTCATCCCGGGGCTGCGGGGGAGCTGGGATGCTCTTCCAGAGAACATCTACTGACACTCAGAAATTATACTCATAAAATATTGATGAGAAAATAATAATTTTCAAAAGGCCCCAAGTCCAGTAACTAAGAGGATGTGGCCAGATTTCTATCTCTCTGAAAGTAAACATGTTTATTACCACTCCCCTCAATGTAGTCAGAAAATGACCTCTGCAATCTTAACAGCTTTTCTTCTTTAGAAGTAGTGGTATTTCTTCCTTTTTGTTTTTTGTTTCTAATAAATTTTTTATTGAAGGAGGAACATGTTGTTCATTGCCTCTATTCGGTAAGTATCTATCTATCTGTCTGTCTGTCTGTCTGTCTGTCTGTCTGTCTATTTGTTGTTATCTGTTCTGCCCTCCTCCCTTCCCCAGGATCTATGCTAGGTGTTAGACTATAGCAGGACAAAGTCAGTAAATAAATCAGTAAGGTAACTGAATTTATGGAAGCTTCCAGAAAGACATACAGGAGCTACAGAGGGAGACACTGAAATAGAAAGTTGGAAAAAGCCCTTTGGCAACAGGATTTATGTGGAGACCCCAAGGCTCTGGGCAGCCACTCAGATGGAGACTGGGGATTGTGCAGTGCACACAGGGGAAACAAGGTCTGTGAAGCCGAGTTTAAGAATATTTGAGGAATGGAGAGAAGCCATT